GCCAATCCACCCTAACCTGCACATCCCTGGGCACTACGGAACAATTTAGCACGGCCAATCCCACCATAACTCGCACATCCCTGGGCACTATGGGACAATTTAGCACGGCCAACCCCACCCTAACCTGCACATCTTTGGACTGTGGGGGGAAACCGGAGCACCCGGAGGAAACCCACGCAAACACGGGGAGAATGTGCAAACTCCACACAGACACATTCACCCCCGAGGATGGAATCGAACCCGGGTCCCTGGGCCGTGGGGCAGTAATGCTAACCACTGAGATCACCGTGCCACTCCTGGTAGAGTGTTAGAACGATACAGAGGAAGTGGCCTCCAAACTGCAGAAGAGAGTTTTTCTCTGAAAGATAACTATTCTCACGACCCAGTTGCTATGAAGTGTTGTGTCTAACTGGTGATCGAAAGACTGTACAATAAATGTGCCAACCAGCCGCCTCAAACTGAATCCCTGGTGCTTTCGGGTTATAAAGAGGTCAGAGACCAGGAGAGGTCATGGGAAGAGAAAGGGGCACCTGGTTGCATCCTGCCCTGTGGTTCTATTGGACTGTGCTTCCCCAGTACCTTTCTCTCTGTGGGATTGGTTGGCTTCGTCTCTGTGTACGTTACGTGTGGGGGTCAATCGTTCCAAGATTTTGTTCGCCCGGGGGTGAGCGGAGTCCACTTTCTGATTGGACAAAGCCTCACCGGGAAGAAAACGATAGGCTGCCCCAGATCCTGGGTCATTCAGGAAGGTTTCGGAGAAACCCTTTATCCTGGCCCACCCCTGGGATCGTGCTCTGCAATCAAAGGAACACCTTCCAGCCTTAACCTGGCACCCTCATTGGCTGAGGGAATGCCAAAGAGTTGACCAGCCGCCAGCCCTTTGGTGCAAGTTGGCGCGATGGCTCAAAATTTGGCATTCTTGCAACGGGGTCCTGATGGAGCGCGAGACAAAAATATCTGTATCAAAAATGTCGCAGAGTCTTCCTAGCCTTCCCCTCCTGAGTGGCCTGGCTCCGTATAACATTCTGGTTTCATTTCCGCTCCCCCCGCCCCCATCTCGCCACACGCCCCACTTCTCACTTGACACATTAAGCCCCGACCCCCACCCCTTGGTACAGCCAGTGGCCTTGATTGGCATCTGCAGGGTACACCCTGCCGAGGGCGAACGTACCTGGCAGTAGGTGTGCGACTTGGGGTTAACGTCGATGGTGGCTAGGTAGTCTGGTTTGCAAATGGCTGTGTTCCTGTAGATGCAGGGCACATAGACTATCTCCTCCTTATCGCCTGTGGGTGTAGATTTGGAGAAAGATCAGTTACCCAACTTTTCATCAAATCATAGAGCTGTACAGCACGGAAACAGACCCTTCGGTCCAACCCGTCCGTGCCGACCCAGATATCCTAAATTCATCTCGTGCCATTTGCCATCTTTTGGCCCCATATCCCTCTAAACCCTTCCTGTCCATGTACCCATCCAGATGCCTTTTAAATGTTGTAATTGTACCAGCCTCCTCCACTTCCTCATTCCATACACGCACCACCCTCTGTGTGAAAATGTTGCCCCTCAGGGCCCTTTCCCCCTCTCACCTTAAACCTATGCCCCTCTAGTTTTGGACTCCCCCCTACCCTGGGGGAAAAGACCTTGGCTATTCCCACTATCCATGCCCCTCATGATTTTATAAACCTCTATAAGTTCACCCCCTCAGCCTCCAATGCTCCAGGGAAAATAGCCCCAGCCTCTCCCTGTGGCTCAAACCCTCCAACATCCTTGTAAATCTTTTCTGAACCCTTTCAAGTTTCACAACATCTTTCCTATAGCAGGGAGACCAGAATTGAACGCAGTATTCCAAACGTGGTCCTAACCAATGTCCTGTACAGCTGCAACATGACCCTCCCAACTCCTATACTCAACGCACTGACCAATAAAGGCAAGCGTACCAAACACCTTCTTCACCGCCC